CGAAACCCAGTTTTTCGTTCTATCCTTGGAAGGAAAGAATGTTAAAGTGAATAATGGAGGTGAAAAAAAAACATTTAATACCATCAGTAGTTGAATTGTAAAATTGTAGATATATTGGAATGCATGAATCAACGTTACGGAATATTTGAAGTAATGCACATAAAATTAAGAAAAATGCTAAAGCGATGACAACTTCATGCGGTTTGAAGACCACCCCTGGGAATAGGAATCGGACTAATTTCGTTTAGAGACTATGAGTAAAGCAATTTTATTAGGTGTATTCACACTATTTCGTGTAATATGATGAAGGACTGGTAGGTGAATTTTCCCATGATGACATGAGTAGAGCTGACGTCTCCATTGAATTTCAGTCTTGCTTTTTCAAACCAGGGTGGACTGCGGTTTCGACCTCGCCTAGGTCTTATCAAAACCCCCGGCGGAAGTTAAACCATGACATAATCTCGAGATAGTAACGACTACACCGCATTGCAGTGCCCTTGAGTCACAGGGCATATGTTAATTGCAAGGACGGCCAGGCATTTTCATATATCACATTTAATCGACAATCTCACCAAATAATACGATATAGTAAATATCTGGTCATCACTGAAATTCTAATATGCCCTGTGATCCAAATGCTCCGGCAATGCAATGTAATGGTTTACGAGTTGAGATAACACGTAGCACTGTCATTGTTTGACTTCGCTGGGGGCGTTGATAAGACCTAGATGAGGACGAAACTGCAGTCCACTTTGGATTAAAACATCTTTTGGGAAAGCAAGACTATGTAAAATTCAATGGAAACGTCAGCTTTACTCAGCATTGTGGGAAAATTCAACTATAAATTATTCATCAGCTTAATGAAATAAGGTAAATACATTTCATATAAAGGAACTCTACTTACCACAGCAGCAATTGAAACACAAGCTCTAGGCATCTTTAAAGAATGAAAGTAAACGATAATCCAGCTACAACTGGGCAAAATTCCTGCACGTATTGGTTAGTTAAATCATTTTTAAAATCGAATACAACTGCACAATGTGAACCTTATATTTTAAACTTATTGGTTATTAGCTATTATGTTGTACAAAGAAACTGCGAAAAATCGTATTTTGAAATTTTCATTGGGCCTCTCCAATGGAGGGGCCTTTTGATATAATGACTTCGAATTTCATAATGTCTTCACGAGATGAATTACTTGCACTAATCGCCACATGCCTGTATGCTGAAATGGAATGTTATCCAGAAAGCATTCAAGCCATGACTTTTTGATGTCTAGAACGTTGTAGTGTATAAATATGCGATAACTACAATATATATATGAGTTTTGTCCACCCTATTTCGTTAAGGGTGATCAAGGTCTGTTATTTGAACTTTCCTGTGGATCTACTGTTAGTCTCGAAAAATCTACTTATGAAACGAGAAAATGTATATAATCCTAAAAATCTCTTATGATCGTCGCACCTCTAGCGTCTTTATTGGTGTAAAAAATGATATTTTGCGGACCGACTTATCTATGCAACACATTGCTTATGGTAATTCATTGTCGACACGCCAGAAAGATCATCTTTATTTTAGCATAATTACCGGAGCTGAGAGATCAGCATGAATACTAGCATAATACATTATGATAAATAAATATCAGAGCAGAATTCAACCTAAAGTGTATCAATTAGTCGTTAAATATTTAAGCATATAATTTATTAATTATTGTCCCTATCCTTAATGCATTTGAGTTAAATAATATATTTACATAAAATCATTGCAGGTCGAATTAATTTTGATAAGGTACAGTCGTTTTCATTTGCAATCTATCCTTAAAATGTATCTGCTGCATAAATCTCTGTTCTTCAAATAGCTGTCCTATAAAAGAGGTGATAAACCTGTGTCACACAGTCGATGGCGAGAAGCTCGAATTTTAAGCTTCGATAATAGTTTCACTGCTAGCTCTCTTAGCAATTATATAGTTGGTACAATGATCTGTATGTCAAAAAATTCTTTCAAAACCATGCCTACATAATGGACTGGATCAAATGTGCTATTTATAGCCTCTGAATTGTCTTCATGCCATTCGTGTTATCCCAACCATGTCAAATACCGAAAAATAAGTTTATTTAAAAGCAAACAATCATCAGGACCATTTGTAGCTTCGACTTTTGACAACTCAATTCTAAGACGTAAGATTTCTTCCTAAAGCAACGCACTAATCAAAGAGGATTAGTTCAAAAGCAAAAATATTTGGTCGTAAATTTGCCGGAGGCAAATTTAGAAAGAAATGCAACGAGATCTAAGTGTGTGATATGCAGCTTCTCATCAGCTTATTCACAGCCGGTACCTATTTGTATGCATGCAATCATCATAAGAAAATGGATTCTACATTGGAATCGATGATAAAACAAGTAAAATATGCGCATTCATATATCCTCGGCAAAGCGAAATGAACTATCTTGTCATTAAAACGACTAGGGCCAGTTGAGTGATCTCTGGGATAGAGAAAGCTGGTGGAAAGAAGTATCCAAATTAAGTCTTAAAAATAGGTCTCAAGTCTTGAGGTCAGGTTACAAAAGGCCTTAACAGGGCTAGACCAAAGAAATTTGAAAGATTGGCTGAACACAGGAGTAGTAAGTCTATCACTAATTTCGAATTTCGAAACTTTGATTGCATTGCCATTTGTCTTAACGAAACGACGAAAATGTCTTTATATTGAGATGCTACCGAATGTGTATGCTTTCATTCACAAAATTCTAGTGACAAGGGCTATTATAGCAATCCTGACTATTCTAGAATAGGTTTTAGCACATAATGTATGGTGCGAAAGCGTCCACTAACCTCAAAATGCCTCTCCATATAGTCGCCGGACTTTCAAATAATTACCTCATTTGGTTTAGTATGACGCGAAGTACAAGTGACTCCATCAAGCTGACAAAGCCAAACTGAATCGGTGTCCAGATGGTTGACACTAGCACGAGCAGGAGCAGTGGATGAGATAGAATCAACGACCGAATGGGCTGAAGAGGACGTGATGCGTCTTAACTCGAGGGCAGCAAGGGCTAGATTTGTTTGCGCCTTGCGTAATTGATCTTCAAGGCGAGTACGATCGGCTAACAGTAGCTCGCGCTCCTGAGCAGCTGACTCATCTTGTTGGTTAAGTTGCAGTTGTTTAGTTGTGATAATCTACAGGATCAGATGAGAACGGGAATGGATAAAGGTATGCAGCAAATAAAAAGAGACAAACTAACAATCAATGGAAAATAAAGGAAAATAAAAGGCGAGCAATTATTGCACAGAAAATTTTTAATAAATCTGAATGATAACAGAATAAATATATTAAAGTACGGAAAGGGTATAGGAATAGAAAAGAATATTAGGGAGAAGTAAGACTGGAAAGAAAACAAGGAAGCGCAGTGGCATTATTGTAGGAAATTTTTATATATAAATAGAGATTTCGAATTACGTTTTTGTTATTTTAATGCACCCTCTGCATAAACTTGACTCAATTGGAGATATCGTTGCTGGAAATATGCTCATTCCCTAAGCCTAAGCTTATATCCAATATAGAGAAAGTGTACTTGTCTTTAGGCCCAGACATCCTAGGTACCAACCTAGTCAGAACTGATAATTGGAAGTAAGAATTTCTAATAACCTTCTATGAGGACATAAACATGGATAAATGATTTGATCAAAAAGTAAAACAAGTATTGAAGTTTATGTTGGAGTAGCATTCGTTTCGTTTGAAGAGTCGAGTGTTAGGAATTCGTAAGTTGGCCTAACCGGAGGCCGTAGAGCCATTGCCCTGGAGCTGTGATTGCAGAGCTGAGCGAATAAGTCCTCGACGCACCACCCCGCGACCCTGATAGATAGTACATGGCGTTCGTCCGTTGTGTGAAGGGAATCGTAAGAGGACACTAAGCTTGACGATAATTCATCAAAACACGATGAGGCCAACTTCCACTCTCCTCTTCAAACGAAATGAAAGGCATTACAACAGCTATCTTTAAAGGGGTTCTTCGAAAACCAGTTTTCATAAGCATTGAAGTTGATTGACCATGTTTTCGCAACTGGGTAATATGCTCAACGAGAGCTAGGGAACTAAACCTTGTCAGGAGTATATAGTATACATGATAATTCCCAGTCGGGCAGTAGACTTAGTACATTCCCAGACATTTTGCCGGCATCGTCAGTGAGCCCTGCTAGTCTTAGCACCACACAATAACCCGTCAGAGACAAGGAAATTCAATCCTTTGACTAATTGCCTGTTGAACAGTTGTGGTATCTCTACTTCTGTTCTGAGGTATTCAACTATCTCATATCGTCGTATCAACCCTTCAATATCACTATTTTTACTTATTAAAACATGATATTAGTGTTCCCCGCTGGCTTTCTCACCCCCTTATGCTGGCAATGTTGATCTGAGAATGACCTATTAATCCGTAATCCTCTTCCCCTCGATCCCATCAGAGTCGGCCTCTTGAGCCGTATAATCCTTCTGCATGGTTCATAGATTTCATTTGATCTCTGCCACTATATCCGAGATACTCGAGGCGTTATGTTCTACACTCCACCTCAAGTCTTTGATATAATGTATACGATCGCTTCAGTGAACTGGACAAGAAATTTGGGTTCTAAAACTGGATAGGGTACTAACTTGATTTATGATTGTTCTTCTGTAGCCTCCTTGCGGTGTCTCATCCTCATGTCGAAAGTTTTTCCTTTATGCGTCTTCTTTTTGCTAATCTCGCTGTCAACTGACATCTCCGAGTTTTTTAGGAAGTACGCAAAGTTTTCGCTAGTTCTAGCTTCTTCAAGTTTTCTCTATATTAGATTTCCTTAAGTCGGAATATCGATGGCCTCTCTGATCTTGGTTTTCTTCGTACTTTCATCATATAAGAACAGACTTTCTGTCGATTTCGTGCCTCGTCTATGCAATGTATTCCGCTACTACAGATATTTCCGTACCCATATTTCTGCAGTCGCTTATGCTGCTGTGTTTGATTCGTAGGCTGATTTTTCTTCTTTTCACCAATATACTTCAGATCGCGGTTGCCACATTTGTGCGATAAACTCCCCGAGCAATCTAGTTTATCTATATTCTCGTGTTGCGTAGACAGGCAAGTGAAGTATTCTATTCATAAGGTTCACAGGTAGTCTCGAACCTCTACTTACATACGAAAAAAAGTGTTATATTTTCCTCTGTCGTAATCTTGAAGTTACATTGTATTAGTAACGATACCAATTATTGGCCCAGTTCACAGGAAGACAGGCATATCAACTTTCGGTCGTCCACCCAATTTTAGAGTTAATGTTCACAAATTCGATGACGAAATCTGCTCTCTAAGTAGGAAATTGCGATATAGAAGGGTGTTACGAGAACATAAGACAGAAGAGATACCACAACTATTTAATAGACAATTGGTCAAAGGATAGTCTTCCCTTGTCTCTTTGAAGAGTTGTGGTGTGATGCGTAGAATGGCAAAGTTTACTGATGATGCTGGCGAACAATGGAGATAGGAGACGGATCCTACAGGGCTAGAGGGAGACTCTGATAGGACTTATGG